CATAACATTTTACAAATTAATTGGCACTGATATGTTTGTTAGCAATAATTAGTCAATGTCAGCATGTTAATGGGGTGATAATTAACGAAGAAAATTAATACACACAAGTGATAGGTAGAAATAGTTACAACAAGTGGATTGCATAATGCGTAATTTTGGAAAAATGAAGAGTAATTAAGGAACAACTAACACTTGAATATTAATCTGATGCTTACTAGCGACTGGTCGTATTCAGGTAGGTATTTACCTGGGTTCTAGTGAGAATTTATGGACCAATGGATCGAGTCCTAGTGACTCAATGGCCTACGAGCTCGCCTTGTAACCAGAAGACCCAGGGTTCGGACCCCCGTGGGTGCGTACTGATGGAGAGTCCTTAACAAAGACGAAACAGCTGTCAGCTCATGATGGGAATAAAATAAAATAATTCTGATGACGATAACTCGTAATTAAAGACGAAGTAGTCATGACAATAAAATAATTTGGACAGTTATAATTTTTAAAACGTTTATGGGGAGGGCGAAGTAGTCCCGTTCGCACATTAATGCAACGATGGTCAAGATAAGGAAAGTGGCTGTACGAATTTCTTCTGAACACACAGGTTTGGCTTCTTCAGGTGGATTCCCATGGCCTCAGCTCTATCGAGAAGAGTAATTGATAAAGCAATTTTAAGGATAGTAGGAATGCGGTAAATAACTTCGAATGCTGTATTAACATCAACATCATGCTCACTATGCGCAAAGTGTGCTTAAACAGAGCTACATTTAAATCTTGATTGTCCTTTGCTTAACCATGCCGGAGGATGTTCGGAAATACGGTGATAAACCTGCCCAGTTGTACACCTAATGTAGGTGGCTCCACTGCTTCAGTCAAACTGGTAGATGCACACATATGTGGAGGATAAATTGGGTAGTTTGTCCTTATTTCTCGAGTGTAAAATATGGGTGTCACTGAAGAGACAATGTAACTCTGCTGCATTGAAAGCCCTTTCAACTGCATTCTTCAAGCGCTGTGTTACTGTTTCAATGATGCTGTCACCGAGGAAATGCAGTTTTATGAACAATCGTCTTGTTCTTTGAGCTGTTGCTTGGTGCTTCATTCCTTCCTTTCTCAGTGAACTTATTTGAATAACCATTCTTCCCAAGTAATTCTCCAATAATCTTAAGCTCCTCATTGAGGGAGTCGTATGAACAGATTAACCTAGCTCTATGAACCAGACACTTTACTAAGTTACATTTAAATTTGAAATGTGCAAAACTTGAAAAATGAATGTAGTTACCTGTTGCTGTAGATTTCCTGTACACACTCCTTCTTAATGTTCCATCTTCTTTGCTGATCAAGAAGACGTCCAGAAATGAGGTAATACCATAACCTTCTTCCTCTCTGGTGAAGTTTATTGCTGAATGTACGCCCCTGAACTTGTCGAGGGTTTTTTATTTGAGGGAGTACGGGCAGAATGGATGAATTATAAAATTTCAGAAGATTATTTCATAAGTTAACTGTTATCAGGACTTTAAAAGTAGGTTAATTGTTGTCACAAGATCAAAAATGCGATGGTAACAACAAGAGAGAAGACAGAGATGAAGTGAACTGGGGGAAATTTAACCAATAAAATAAAAAAGAACATTACTATGACCAAAGCAAATATGGGGTGTCTTACAAAACGTTTTTTAAATACAAATTTTCAGTTTTCTTTTATATATAACTAGTGCTTTGGTTATACTTAACAGTAATAACAAACAACTTTATTGCAAACAATAATAATTTTACAGAATGACATTTTCAGCGTTTCACACATATTTACACGCATAATAAGAGAAGGGGTTGAGTTATGCCAGCAAAAAGCCCCACCGTTCCCTGTGTAATAAGCCATACCAAAAGTGCTCTTCTAACTCAACAGGATATGAGACGACTAACAGATATTAGAAGAGAGACTGATGCCGAGATAAGAGATACTCGACTTATTCCCTATCAGTGTCATCAATATCACAAAAATCATGGGACTGAACCAGTCCACACAAGTCTTGTTCACATCTGAATCTAAAATCAACAATATGATATATTTAGATGGATTCACTTTCAAGCTTTTAGGTGTGACCATTTGTAGATCCGCTTAGAATACTGTATCAATAGGAATGAACGCTTAACATAAAGTTCATCCGCCTGTAATAACTAATCATAACTAATTAAAACAGTTTGAAATGTAGCACTTGTCAATATTGTCAAATAATTATAATGACTTTATTTTGAACAGTATTTATGCAGTTTCGGTGGGTGGTTAATAGAAGTGAAATCCAGCATGCATCCAATTTCGGACTCGTCATTCGGAGAGATGGTGTTCCCACTGAGGCTCGAACTCAGTACTCACCGTTTCACACATTAAAGCGTTATCCACTAAACCAATTGGGCCACGAAAGTCACCTCTTTAGCAACAGGTATCAATTATTATTTACTTCAATTCGAAATTTCCCGTTGATTGATTGAACTGAAGTGGTTCTTGTGGCCCAAGTGGTCTATTGGACAATGCTTTGGCATTTAAAACGATGGGTACTGGGTTCGAGCCCCAGTGGGAACACCATCACTCACTGGTGAATGCACGTACATCCAGCTGACAATTCCCACATCAAACGAAATGGGCATTCTGGATTCCAATATTAGTCACCATCCACCAAAATTACTTCACGTTAAATCATCAGGCATCGTTGAAGCAGCCACACAAGGATTTGACATATCAATGTGAGGTCGAGTACTTCAATCCAACAATCAATGGGAAAGTTGAAATTGAAATAAATAGTATTTATAAGAAGTACAGAATTTTCAGTGAAAGTTACTGCATAATAATTCGCATAACTGAATATCTCATATCTTAGACATATCAAGAGTTTATGAAACAAGCTGAATTACTGCAAACAGAATATCGACAGTACAATATCAAAAGACGCACCATAAGGAAACAAAGCAAAATTACCCAACCTAATAGAAAGGGGAAATTATATCATAAAAGGTATCTGTGTTACAGAACATAAAAACACTAAAACGTGCCAGCTGAAGTAAAGATCCCTCAGAAATGCTACAAAATGCGATTTATGCGACTTAATATTCAGTGCTTGATCTCTTGGTAAGACGAACATCGGTTTACTTTGGATACAGTCTTGTTTTCGTTTTACAATGTGCTGGAACAGGCAAAAGTGTATGCAGTAATAGGAGTTGTTAGGCTGTTAGTGCCCATTGAGTGCTACACACGTCTTTTGATCGATAACCAGATTTAATGTACACACCAAAGGTGGTGAGAATTGTCAAATCTCAGCCTAGGCTTTTGTATTCAACCAGTTCCCATTAATAATTTGAATAAAGAAAGAAGGAATTATTCAGTGTTAAAAGAGTTAGCATTCATGTATTTATTTGACAAGGGGTGGGAGTAGAGTTCAGATTTCGCTTGGAGACATGGATGGACTAGAGACAAAATACAAGAAAGAACAACAGAGTGAATTTAGGCATGTTATAGTGGAGAGGTGAAGGGGGTGGGAGTGAATAATAAAGTGCACTTATCAGATGGATAAAATAATTCAGTAGATTTGGTAACATAATAGTGATTTCAACTCAGTAAGTGAGAATCAAATTCAAAATTGAGTGGAATGTTGTGCAGCAGAACACAGCACAGAAGAACATTTTTTTATTAAAGCTTGTACAACGATCGAATCACTCAAGTTGCCCGCCAATGGCGACCACAGCCAATAAACAAACGTTCAGTGTTCATCACGGTTAACAAATGGCTTCTACGAAACGAAGTGACCATCGTTCTCTTTGTGCACTGATGATTACTTTGAAAGCCTGACTAATTTACACTATGTGTTCCGTGCCACTTGTGTGTCGGGTTATTGTACTTGAGAACACTTTCATCCTTTTCAAACGGAGACTTTTAGAGATGAAAACGAGTTTCTTTTCATCTATTTCGGGTTTCTGTCTAGATGTGTGTTCAGTCCCGTATTTTAATATGAACTTTCGAAGCTATCCATTTTTCGGTAAAGTTCTTTTCGGTAACTGAGAGTTCCTCTTCTAAACATAACGCCTTAGCTCTGGTAAAGAAAATTTGTACGAGGCTCTGTTTGCAACCAATCGGGTAAAAGGTGTGATAATTCATGTATTGACCAGTCCAAATTTCTTTCCTATAGATGAGATCTTCAACTGTCCCATCATTTCTTCCTTTTTATTTATTATTTATTTATTTATTTAGGATGTAAGCAATTGAAGAGAATCCTCGAAATAAGTCGAGCTTGTATTATCCTGCAAATATGTTAGCTATTTCTTTCTTATGTATTCAAGCTGAGATTTCATCTAATTTAGGATATAAATAGGGAGTTAAACAGTTTTTATAGGCATGTAATGGTAAAATGCATTCATTTCAGGTGGCCAGTGTTTTTAATATATTTATGGGTAGCTGAGCCCTTCAAATCATCGGAAAATAATTTTGTTGCATCCAAATCTCCACTGACAATTTTACCTATTCAATCAGCTTTCGGTCAACTGGTCGAATCTCGCTCCACTTACCTTCCCGTGAGGCAACTGGATTGTAGTTTCTCTAACATTCACACAATATGTATATGGCTCATGTAGCCTACTATATGAGAAATCTGTTTTGAAGTAATTAAGATCATCAAATCATATTATCAATGCTTCCCTTCTTCTTTCCTTCCTTTTATACTTCCAGTTGCTGGTTTACGTACAGTTACAATCCTGTTTCACTCAGATGACATAGAGGAAACAGATAATGTAGTCACTAAAGTTGTTGAAGCAACAAATCGTCTTTTACTGAAAGAAGCTGAAATACTTGCACAAACCAGTCGGGGAACAAATACCGGGACAGCATTCAATCCTGAAATTCCAAATTTTCCAGCATTTCAAGAAGAAAGAGATGCATTTGATCAAGGCAAACCGAGTATTATAGCGAAGAATAAATTTATACGAGTTGAAGCAACAAGTGAATGCAATGGTTTTGTTATTGTATTACTACATAAAGAGGTAATTAAATCATTTCAGTTTTTGTAGGAATTTCGTCACTGTAGATTTCGTCAAGGGAGTTAGAATTCATGAGTTAATGAGCTTAAAGGTCTTGAATTCGATCCCTGACGGGATTGTGGGTACGCTCTGCTGAAAAGTCCCAAAGTAGGACGAAACGGCTGTTCAGTGTTCCCTGAATTTCAGTGATCTCTCTAGATGATGTTGATTCATGACAAAATCTATACTGTAATTACTGCATAAGTCATTATTATTGTTAAAATTGTTTCATTCTATAAGCTTATTCTAACGGATTATTTTGTACACAATGTCTTCGAATTAAAGCATCCCGGCAGTCTAATTTACGCCTAATTAATATGTAGATTGTAAGAATTGCTTTAATAATATGGTAAACTAAGAAGATTCTGAACTATAAGTACAGGTTGTAATGAAACTTTCATCGTTATATGAACTGTCAGTTTATTTTATGCCTTCTTACGTTTGCTAAAACCAGGTTCAAGTTATTATTATGACCGGAGCTACGACCTAGTACACTACGAGTGGATACTAACTTTATGCGCTGTCTTAATCTCACGAAAAGAGCAACAATAACAATAATACCATCGGCACTCACAGACAAAACGATAGACTGGACGTTTATAAGAGAGCTTTTACTGTCTTAAAACAACAGTGAAAATGATTGATAGCTTATATATATATATATATATATATATGAATAAGGCATTTAGAAGAGAAATTTCGCGAGATGATATCATTTCATAGTTTCTTTACAACTGCTTTACAACGAACGTGTTTTACAATAATAAAATAGAGGGCATGACGATTACTCAGTTTTATAAAACAAAAGTACATACGAATGACCAATCATATTTAAATAGGCCAAATAGTCGATCCATGGTAGGCGAAGGTTGAAGTTCGTTGTTATTTATACACATAGTTTAGGATGTATGTGATTAATGTTAGCTGATATAGGGTCAGGCTGGAAAAGAGCTAGTGGCGGTCAAACCAAAACATTGCATCAATCAGTGAAACCCACAACAGTTAGTCTGAGCCACGTAGGAAGGTGGAGACTTCCTGGTTGGGGTCCTCGGGACGGCAGAAACCAATGAAGGCTGGGGACAATTGGTTACATGGCTCAAAATCGTTCTCAATGGCAGGCGCAGATGCATCCACTCCTTGTGACTTATGATTTCCAATTAATCTGTTTTGTTCTTCGTTATTACTATACTTTTGTCTCACACTTCTGTTTACTGTCTTTATTATGCATTTCTCCTACTTTCTTCTCTTGCTTTGTGTGCTACATGGAGTGTGGCGACTTGAACTGCAGCACATATGTGCAAAGTTCTATGTCGAAAACAGACAGACAGATGTGATTAACCCACAAAGTGCTCCCATCACCTTTAATAACCTTAAATTAGAGTTATGTGATTAAATAATTGTGAAACAGTTATTAATATTGATTTTTTGACCTGACATCAATAAGTGCTTTGTAATGGACGATGCTGGATTTCTACTCAGATTAATTGCATTGAGATTTTCTGTGTTGTAATAACCATTTTGAAACATGCTCTTTTCGACGACATTGGAACATTCTATTGGTTCTACTTATATAGGTTTCACCGCAAGTGCAGGTGTACTTGTAAATACAGTTTGAAGTAGAGTCCACAGAGTTTCGTCCTTTTAATCGTAGGTACAGAGATCGAAAATGTTCGTCAAGTGAGAAAAAGAGATGCGGCATAGAATGTGCGCTTCATGACTGACCGAAGTCTTCGAGTTGTCAACTGCATAATCTGGTCACCCTTGATTGGTAGAGAAGCTGTCTTTTCTAAATGTCCTCTATCCTTACTGTGACAAGTGATAAATTCCATTATGGGATAATTTTGTTTTGATTAAGTCTCACAATGTTATACAGTAATGTTTACTGATATAACATCGACTGTTAAAAATCCGACGATTTGTGAATCTTGCTTCAGTTTGACAGAGTCGTGTGAGTTTGTTGATAAGCTTCCTAGTAGGAAGACCATATCTATCATGTTTACAGTAAACATTACTGTATAACACTGTGAGACTTTATCAAAACAAAATTTACCCATAGTGGACTTACACTCTACCACAGTGCACAAGTTTTATTCTTATATCAATGATACAAGTGATAAAGTTTTCTGGAAAACCACTAGCTAATAATAAATAAAATGATCATGAGAGACACCAATGATATTGATAAATTAAACCAGTGAACAACCGATATGACTTCAAAGGTCAAAGGTGAGGTAAGACAAAAGGTAAACAAACATGTAAAAATAACATGTAGATTATTAGGTCTATATATCAATTATTTCCATATTAATTTGTATATCGGATATATTACACAATGAAATAGTGCTGTTATTTACTGGATGACTTTTCACATGCATCACTGATTATTCAGTATCAATCCATGGCCGGAATTGAAACTAATCAGATCCCTACAAATTAACGCTAAAAAGTTAATCTGATGCTCAATAGTGAATGACAACAGGACAAAGTTGCCCGATGTTCTAGTGTGAAGTCTTGATCAACAGAATCCTCCAAATTAGGTGTGAGGTCAAATACTTGCTGATAACATTGGCTGATGGTGGCCATAAAAATCACAGAGTGACGGAAGTTACAGTTCATTGGTCAATGAACTAAGTCTCAGTGGCCGAATGGTTAGAAAGCTCACCTTGTAACCTGAAGGCTCCATTTTCGACTCTTGGTGGGGTCACGGGCACGTACTGAAGAGTTCCAAAATTGGACGAAATAGCTGTATAATACTGCATGGTTTTCAATGGTCCTATAACTGATCAATCCGAGATCAAACCTGTGACTAATCAAGATCCATAGGAACCCTTAACCAACATAGTTTATTTCTGAGTTAACTTAAATGAATCAAACACAAATGTATAACTAGAAGTTCTAAATAATTAACGAACATCAAAGAGACTGGAGAAGAAGTGGATGTATACAATGTCCAGAGTTAATAATCCATGCCTTTCTTTGTTGGTAGTACTTAACTCTAAGGCATAAATTTAAGCTTCTTGTTACCATAATGATTCGGACGTAAAACATTCTTTATTGAAACCAGAGACTTCGAACCATAGCAACTCTGTAGGAAACTAGGTGAATCATACAACTAGACCACTGGCTGAATGATAATTTATGAGTTTTTTAGGCTGTAACTGATGACAGAGATTATTATCATTTATTCCCTGTATATGACCACAGCGGCACATCTTCATACCAAGTGACTCTTTGCCATCCCTTTTAGCTGGTTTCATCCCTGCTCACAAGCTTTTATTTCTTCTTTCCTTCATGAACTCTGTCCCAACTTTCTCACCTCATTCCCACCCATTCGCGTTTCACTGGATCGTTTTTACTGACTTAGAATTTGACTTTTTTGGCGCGTGGCCTACTGTTCACAAATGGATAACTTTGATCTATAGTAATGTATCTGTTGATCACTAATTCGTCTGAATGCCAGGCTTGGGATTTTTGGTGCTTCCACTGTTTAAAATTTCTGCATAATTCCAATCAAATTTGTGTCAGTAGTTGCCTACATGCATTAATATGAAAGGATACATATAGTATTTTTGACTACTAGTTTATAAGTTTGACCATGGACTGATGTCATTTGGAGAACCATCGATAACCAGGAAGTACTGGACAGCTGTTTCATCCTAGTTTGGGAATCATCGGCAGTAAGCACCCATCGGAGTTCCAACCCAGAAGCTTCCGGTCACAAGGCAAGCTCGTATACCATTCAGCCACTGGGACGCGAATCAATGGTCAGCCCATGAATTCTAACTTCTACCAGTTCTGATGCTCGCTAGTGACTTGCTGCAGGATGGAGTTTCCTGTGTTCTATGTCATTTCCCCAAGAATTTTTGTATTCTAGCCATTATTTCATGAAACATTCTTTATGAACGTTAGGATAAATTTTTTTGTGGTTTTTGAGAATGATTTCCTGCTGGTAGTCGGATCCCCAGTTAGGCATTTTCTGATGAAACTGCAGGGGACTTCATTTTTCTTCAACACATTTAGTAGTTATTTCTCTTCTATTCATCTCAACACTGGAGTGTTACAGGGTGCTTCAGTTCTTTTGTACAATATTTGCACACATTTTCTTTTGTGTGTTGCTGGGTCTCATTATGTAACTCTATCACCCTTATTCAACTTCTTTTATACATTTATTAATATTGGCTATTGTGCTTATGACAATGCATCTCTTTTGTGAAAAATAGTGGTATTTAAGTACGATTATACAGCTAAAGAAAATGAATTTGGTGAAAAGAACCTCTTCGCTGAATCATTTGCTCTGTTCTTTTCTTCGTTATGGCTTGGATTGCTTCAGGATTATCCAATTAAATTTGGCGAGAACTTTTGCCTCAGCAGACAATAGTTTAAGCCCGTCTAGTCTGGTTTTAACCTGCAAAATAAAGCTAATTTAAGGTTAGACAAAATTTAGGATACATAACACCTATCCGTAGTGAATTGTAATAATTTGACAATTGTAGTTTTAGAAAACTTATACATTGTTAAAGGATGTTTTCATATGTAAAGGAGTTAGAAGATACTACTAATAAATCCTTTAATGTACTATGAATCCAATCATTTTTGTCTTGTGATGTGTGCTACTTATAAATAGTTGTAAGTAGTGATATATATAGTAATGGATTTGGAGATGCAATGCTAATTTATAAGTAGGTTTTGTCTCGAACCAATACTAGTTGCAGAATTATTGGAAATCAGGGACTACTGGACAGCTGTTTCGTACTAGCTTGGGACTGTTCAGCAGTACGCACCTACCCACATTGTTAGAATCCGGGACCTTCTCGTTACAGGGCGAGCTCAACCCGATCCAATGACCCGTGGATTCCAACTTCTGCCAATTCACGGTATAGTGCGACTAATAGTCAATGCCATCCGCGTTGAGCATTTTTTCTAACACCCAACCTGCTGTGCATACCGACGAAGAGTCCCAAACTAGGACGAAACAGTTGTCCAGTACTTCCAGGTTTCATACATTTATTCCCCTTAATGAATTTGAACAAAACAAGAACTACCGTTTTTGCAGAATAAAATGGTACCATCTTTTATTTCGTCGCCTTCTCGTCAACTGCTTACAGGCAAAAGACATTATTAAATGTATCTACAAAAACAATTTTAACATACTTGCACAGAGTTCATTTACAACAAAAATCAATCGATCACTATACGCATACACAAATTATATATACATATATATATGTAATATTAAACACTATTCCGAACAATAATAATCATACACAATGAAAACTTTTCAGCATCTCGCATTCGGATGAAAAATATCCAGTTACCAGAACAAAGAAAGACTGATAACCGCTTCTTTCTGGACGCATAAATCAGGTTTCAGGCGCTTGATGGAAATGGCTTCAGCAAAATTGAGGAGAATTGAGCTCTTTTGCCTATTGATAATTTTGAACGACTTTTCGACGTCCACCTCATGACCTGTGTCAAGGAGATGCCTGACGATGGCACTGTTTAAAGCATTTGTTCCTTTTAGACGTAAGCTTTTTGGTACATGTTCAGAAAATCGTAGATATGCCCTTCTTTCTGTTCTTCCAATGTAAGTGCTCCCGCAGATACATGTAAATTTGTATATACAGTTGGAGTTAACATGAGAAGGATATCTATCGATTTTTGATTGCATCAAAGAGCAAGTTTTTCGATAGATGGGGACGAGCTTAGCTGCAGGATAGGCTATGGCTAGTGATGTACTCAGCCTTCTGTTGATCATTGCTGCAATGTTTTCACCTTTATAATCAAGCTGAATGTAGATTGGCTTTTTACCCACTGTGATTTGTTCTCCATTTGTGACTTCAAATTTTCCACACTTGTTGATGAACCTTTGAGGGTACCCATTGCTCTTCAACATCTTTTCAAGAAACTCGAATTCTTCCTCTAATTTCTCTATAGAGCATAATCTCCTCGCTCTATAGTACAGAGTCTTGACTGATCCGCGTTCAAAGCTATTTGGACAAAAGCTATTAAAATGTAAGTAATGTCGTTTCAAAGTAGGCCTTCGATAAAATGACTTTTGAAGACTACCGTCGAGGAAGTTGAGAAAGTGGAACTTGGCGTGTGCATCACTGAATAATCTGAGTAAGTGTGAGGCATGACTTTCATTGTTGCACACTATAAATGTGTCATCAACATATTGACAGTAGGAAGTTGTTTTGTCGATTGCATGCTTCAAATTTGTTCTTTCATGGTTGGACATGAATATATCTGATAAAACAGGGCTAAGTGGATTGCCCATGGCTACACCATCTATTTGGTGGTAAAGAGTGTTGTCAAATTGGAATTGCACATCCATGGTACACATAAGTAGTAGGCTTTTGAATTCCGACTCCAGGTCTTCCAATAGTTCTTTAACTAATGTCATCTCATGATGAAGTCCTGTGACCAATCAAATCCCTGCAAAACAACGCTTGAATATAATTCAAATAATTTATCTGTCATCGGAAAAGCTATTGGAGGAAAATCAGTATGAGAATGGGGTTAAGATTCCAAGGAGAATGTAACAAGGAGGCAGATAATGAAAGACTAAATTGGAATGATAAGATCAGTTCAAGATTAATCATTTTGTTAGGGTTAATTGTATTAATTTCCAATAAACACTGACTGAGTCACACAGATATATTGTTGTCTTCATTAAAGAATTCCATTTATTACTTTGTTTATAACACAGTCTATTCTGCTGAAAAGTCCTGAAGAATTAAAACAGGAGACTGAACAACCAGGGAAACTTACTAAAGATTCTAGAAGCAGATCGAGGATCAGGCGACGTAAGTGTAATTATCACAGTGTAGAGTTTTTCGATTATCTTTTTCCATATCAATGTACTTATTGTTCATTCAGGTCAGTCATCATGAAATCAATTATAATCTCTATAAATAACAACTAGTACCTGATGCATAAAAGGTGGCTTTAGTAACTTATGAGTCTAGTCGATAAAATTCAGTGTTTGAAGCCAGAAGTACAGGATCTGAGTCACTCTGGAAATACCATCACTGAAGATGCAAGTACATCCATCTGGCAAGTCTCGTTTGGGAGCAAATACGCAGCCTGGATTCCTCTGTTAGACCCTATCAACTAGATACAGTTAGTGTAGTTGATAATTATCACTAAAGATGGCATATATGATTTCATAAAAGTATTGACGACTGCATAACATTTCGTATTAGACTTTCATATTTAAGAGATTGAATGTACTGAATTAACAACCTTGATATCTGAGAAGACAGGGTTTGAGGAGGTAAGAATCTGTTGATTTATAGAAGCTTGGAGTATGTGGGTGTATGATCGAATCCTTATCACTCTAACCGTTCATTAACATCTAAAGTTATAAAATATTGACTAATGACAATCATTAATCACATTTCGGATGTTCGGAAGGTTGCTTATGATCTTTTGCATATCTTCGGATGACAAAGGCATAGTTTATGAACTGTATCTATGTGCCGTGTTAAAAAAATCACTTTAAGGCTTTTTCCATTCATAGGTAACCTTTGTAATTATTATGTATTAGCGGTAATCACAAATAATCTTGTATTAGATCATGTAATATAGTGAGTCATTGTAGATTTCTTCTGAGAAATCCGAAGCGATAATAGAAGTGATTAGTTAAACCGCAAGTTGAGTGGCGCGTAAATTCAAAAATACAGGATTTGTCTAAAATACGGTACTCATAGTGTGAGGTGTCTACGGCTGAATGCCATTAAATGCACAGTGTACTGTGTGTCAATAAGAAGAAAAACGAAGATGTGTCAAAGGCGATCCAAAGGCAGATTAAACAACACCTGATTACAAGACAGAATAAAGGGATCCAAATAAACAGTGTTCAACAGAGAAGGGTACATATATAGATATATAAAGCATATACAGCAGATATTGTTTAACTATAATTTTCAAAAGCTGGTTTATAGGGATGTGATCTGTTTTCAAGTTTGACCACCCTGGTCTTCAACGCTTCTCTAATCGATATCAATACGTGGTAAAACTTGGAAACAAATCGAATCCCTACAAACCAGCTATTGAAAATTAGTCTGGTGGTCGCTGTTAACTGGCCACCGGATGGAGTTTCCTGCATTTCCAGTGGGAAGTCATGACCAGAATGGTTCATCAGGTCCAAAGTAAGGGCAAATTCTCGCCGATGACACTGATTAGTGCCAGTCGTGCTAAAATCATGAATTGGCAGAGGTTAGAATTCACGGACCGCCAACTGAGTTGGATCCCAGTGGTTAAATGGTGAATGTGATTACCTTGTAACCAGAAGGTCCTGGGTACGAATCCTTGGGATGGATGCCTACAGATGACGAGTTCCAAAGTGGGACGAAACAGTTGTCCAGTACACCCCCGATTTCAGTGATTCTGTAACTGTTTAACTATATGGAAATAATCACTGTATGCCTAATACATAAAGTGAGTTAAACTTCAATATCAAACGAAACCGTGCTTATGGAATAACAAATGTAAGCTCATACTACTTACTAGTGGTTACTAGTATAAAGTTGAACACAAAGGAAAAAAATAACAAAGGATAGATAGGAAAGGAATTAACAGTCATGATGACGTAAGGTGTAAACTGTCAAGTAAGGAAAGAATGTCAATCAACGAAGCTGAGAAGTTACATCGGTTGACTTGCCTAAGAGAGTATGGCCTGAATGCCACTCCACCGTCTTTCTCATCCAGTAGTACTTACCACGTCGTCTAAAGTAGTGATTTCAGACCAACTGCAAGCCACAGGATAACTAACTACTCAACCGAGCAAAGCTTCCAACTCTGCAATATCAATCTCAGTGAGCTGTGATATTTCATCTCTGGATTTGATAATTTCATTATAACAATTGGGCATAAATTTTAGGAAGGAATCCATATCTAAGTTTTTCAGATTCATTCTATTTCATGATTAAAAGAATTTTAAGGAAGTCAGTTTAACTAAACCAACAGCAATAACTCATACATCAATTTTTAAAATCGAATTCCGATGTGTTCAAACTTTTCATCAGTTACTTTATCAGAAGGAGGATTCTGAAGTGACGGAACAAGAGTCGTTTTCACGTCAAATTTTCTTTGTTTTTAGTATAGGATTATTATTATTTTTAATTTTATTATAGCTTGACTCCACACAGTATTTTTGATACAAGTATGGAATTTTCAGCATGTGATATAGGTAGCCCAAATTTTGCAGGCCAACCGTTGATGTCGGGTGTGTGTCGGCTGGGGATCGAAGCCCGGACTATGCGTGTGGTCGACGAGCGTCCTAACATCTGTGCCACCGACGCATAAATAACCGCGCCTCAGATAAAATTCATTGGCTACGGTACCGCCACTGCTCAAAGATTATGCACTAGGATACAAAAAATTACTTCTTCTATTCACCAAATGCTTTTTAAGTAATTCCAGTTTCAATGTAGAGTAGATTCCGTCATGAACCAAAATGAGTTGGAGAATCATTGAAAACCAGGAAGCAATGAACATCATTGGTTAGAGGTTACGCTATATCGCCAGTTCACAGAAGTAGGTAGAAATAAGTTGTTTAATCTTAACCCAGTAGTAGGTTGGTCAACGAGCTAGAGTTTCTTGGTTCTTTACCTTGTAGGACCATGTGAGCACACGGCTGAAAATTCCCACACCAAGATGAAACAATTTTCCAGTGTTCCTTAGTTTTCGATGGTTTTATAATTGGTGTTAGTTCGTCACGAAATTTATACTAAAATTAATCCAGATCTCCACTAAAATCCAGAATATGCATTCCGGTTCCATTTGTGTACAGTGTCAATTACAGTTCATTCATCATTTCAGCATCTCACGACATGATTTTATGTTATATAGTGTAGTGGAAAGATGATACATAATAAGTGAAATTTAATATAGTCCTAAGAACTCTTCAACATATTTCTCAAAATACCACTTAGTCAATTCATTTGAGCATATTATAAAAGGAGATTTTTACCACGAGTCTATGCTATTAACCATAAAGCCACTGAGACGGAATCCTATGGCTGATAAGTTCTAACTTCGATTGCTTCAGGATGTATATCGCTAGCGAATGTTACCAGCGATTATCTGTCTTCAAAGTCAACTTGGTGCCCTCCACCGGTTACAACATCTCACTAAGATCACAGGAAATCCGTCCCTTAGTCTGTAACGAATAAGCAGAAGATTCACTCGTATTTAATAGATTTCAGGTCATATCATGAACTAACAGTCGATGGGCTCACCTTGTCACATGAAGATCCTGGGTTTCATTCCCAGTGGGATCAAGATTGTGTATTTCTGAAGAGTTTCCAGTATTTCTCCAAATGTTATCATTTTGTGATCTATTTTGAAATAAATTAAATTTCTGCTTATCAGCACTTGAATATTTTTATTATGCTCGAAGATTCTAAGATTTAAAAATTCGCCTTACTGATTTATATGTTCCGTCCGTCACTAAACGAACAGTTCAGTTGTTGATGCATTAGAAATTTCGGTTTTCTGATGAAATTTTTATCCATAACTCGAATAAATTTGATCAGTTCAAAGTATTAAATATGACATAAAATGTCGTTTGTAGTTATCATGAATTTTTTATACGACAGGATGAAATAAATAGGTTTCTTGTCTATAAAGAATAAAATCTTTCCATTTCTCTATTTCTTCTTTTACTACTTCCTCAAGATTAATTTTGTTGAAAAGGATTGGAAAGGATTTAACGAACAAAGGTTTTCAATGCCAGAATAAACACAGATGTAACCAGGATTCATAAAACTCTACCTGGATGAAGCCATATCATACCATCTGTTTCTCTTAGGAATTAAAAAATGAAATTGTATATTTAACTATTTAGAAATTCTATAATAAATTATAAATACATTTAGATGAATCAAACTTTTAGCGGTAATTTTAAATGTAAACGTTACAGTTTTGGTTGTCATTTAAATAACATTAAATGATCTGTGTGTGAAAAATTTTGTGATACTTCACACGCTAATCCTCTCTGACTCTTGCACAGATATCTACCTAAGTCGGTAAATTACATTTCAGGTTGTCAATTAGACCACTCTGAGAAATTGTCTTGGTTTTTTTAGATTGGTGCATAGCGAGTTGTTCATAGGTTGTTCAGTTGTAGAATGCTTGGCAACTATGAAGGTGGTCTGCTGTCAATTCCTTATCTCCATGGTGGTGATTCTTTCATTGAAAGATGAAGTACCTAGACTAGCCACTTCTAATTGTATCTACCAATTCAACTACGCTTGTGGAGGGAGTTATATCGGCCGTTGCTCTAGGAACTTGATTTTTCGAGTTCGAGAACATCTCCGAGTATGGCTAAGTAAAGGTGTAGTAAAAACCATCAACAGTTCGATAATGGACCATCTGGTCCAAACCGGCCACAAAGCCAGCCGGTGTTGAAGAATCCTTCTCTATCATCTACCGGGTACCAAATAAATTGCTAAAAATATCGAGGTACCGCATGCTCCAAACAGCAGAGGCCACCGCAATTCGCGTGAATTAACCTGTGCTTTGTGTGCAAAAGAAGCAAGTCCAACTAGCTACTACTACTGCTCTGGCCTTCAGTGGAAACCATAAATTCATGAATTTGTATAATTATCTTTCCTAATTTTTCTGATATTCAGTGTATTGTTATGTTGATGCTATTGAACTGTAATCTATTGATATTATTATTATTGATTCGATGTTATTTAAACAACATTAATGTTGTTAATAACACTAATTTATTCACTACTATGTATATATAACTGTAGAACCTAATGATGAAGGGGTTATCGAAAAGAATATTTTCTGTTCAGCATCCATTCTTTTGAAAATTTTAATAGGCAGTTTTCATCAGTTATAAAGTGTAATAATAGGAAAATAATTACTATTTACCAAACAGAGTATAAATGCATTGAGTTAAACTTCGATAGCAAACAGAGTTATGGTTGAGGTATCAAATATAACGTCGACTACTTACTAATGGCAAGTAGTATAAAGATAAACACATAAGGAAGAATGGCAAAGGACAAATGGGAGAGGAATTAACACTCCGATTGAGTAAAACTGATTATGAGTACATAGACTTTATAAACACATTAATGTAGAACTGGTTATTCTAGTTCCCCTCACATCAATGATAATTATTCAATGAAAATAAAGTGAATTTCATAGTACTTCATACCCTTATTTTGAGCCTAAAATTCTATGCCACCACACACGAATGATTCTTTTTATTTTGAAATCGTTAATGATCAGTGGGTCATGAATAATTTCAAAGTTGACCTTATTTATACGTATGTATATATGATAGATTTGCAGCAAAGTCAATGAATATTTAATTAATCAATATATCGTTACTTTTCACACATTTCATACATGCACCACACAGAAAATACTCAGATATTGAAAGGTAATTGTGTGTGTGAATAAAAGTCAGAAGGGTATCCTCATTATATTGATCGCTAACAGTTCAGTGAATAAATAATTGGACCATCAGTTTCACATACTTGAAATTTATGATTTACATAGTTCATTCAAGTGAAAATTGCCCACAGTTCTGCTCCTAAAAAACGTCTCAACTTGAATCTACAATTCAACGGAGACTCATTGGCAGAAATACTGGGAATCTGCTTGTCCACCTCACTGAAGTAAACCTTCTACACGGTTGAACTTCCACTAACTCTCTCCACAAAGCCAATGATTTGCATAAACGTGAAGGATAGGTCACCACTGCTGACTAGCCTCATCATCAATTCACCTACTCATGTAGAGTTACTTATATCGTCCATGCCCAGTATTCCCTATACAAACGTATTATCAAACACTTACACTCATGGTTTTATAAAGGAGAAAAAAGATCCCCTCGCCACAACTATATCCTCGAACACCTGATCGAATCTGGACACCAAGCTAACCCACAAAGGAACTTCAAAGTTATCTGCAAAACACATAGGAATATTGCCAAAACAGTAAGAAGCAAAACTTCTTCAAACTGAAGAAGCAATGGCGATTCAAAGGTTAAATCCTGAAATCTGCATACAAAAGGAGTTTGTTCAGTTGTCGAATTTACAATGGACCTGACCTATCTTAACACCAAATACGTAATTTTAGGTTTTTGTTTCTTAGCTGTGTCATTTCTTTCCCCCACTGCATATTAAATTTCTACTCCTTTTTACCATTGTTGTTAACTTGACTCTCCTTCAAATTTTATTTGAATTCTACTCAACCCCGTGAATTATATTAAGTCACTCAACTTGCTTACTGAAATTCATTTTAATTTCTTCCCTACCGACGCTTTCTGCATTAATTAATTTATTATGAAAAAATTCACAGTTCTAATGACACATCTTTGTAAATATTTCTTTTGTTTATTTGAATTTTAAATTTTCCCGTCACTTGATTGGACTGAAGTCCTCGGTCTCAGGTTGACATGTCGACTTCCTGTGAAGATGTTTCGACGATGTCTGGGCATGTAATTCGAAGTTAATTGGTGGATGATGACTAGTAGTGGAATCCAGGACACGCATTTCTTCCTATTCTGAACTCGTGATCTGGATGCACCTGCATTCGGTGGGAACATCATCATTCATTGCGGAATGCAGGTGCACCAATACGACGAGTCCTAAATAGGACGAAATGAGCATCCTGGATTCCGCTGCTAGCCACCATGCACCAATTAACTTCTATTCCTTTTGTTGCTAAGAAAATTTACTAAATATACTTATGCGATTGTACAGCTTCAGAATGATGTGGGTGAAAAGAGTAACTCTTAGCTGAACGCCTTTTTCTTTTCTATCTACAATTTACACAGTAAAGTAAAACTTTACCATAGTTTCCTATCGAAACTGAAATTCTTCAGATTGCACAGTATAGTATCTGTTTGATAACATAAATCGTAGTGAACAAAACAAGCAATAACGTATAATACTGTTTACTACCGATTGAACAGTAGTAAACCGGTGATAAGCTCGGCACCAAACGAACGAAACCGCAGCCATCGCTCGACATTTAGTTTACTTCGATATGTTTAGCAAGTACTACTGACTAATGTGAGTGGTAGCCAGTTACTTTAATCAAATGGTCAATAAGTAGTATGCAGAGTCATGGATACGTTTGCATGCGAGATTATTTCCTCGAAATTATATAAGTTAAGTAGCCAATGATAATTAAGAAGCACTAGACAGCTATTACACCCCAGTGTAGGAATTTTCAATACTGCATTCTCCAGAACCTTCAGGTACGAGTCACATGTGCTACTGTAACGACAGAAGACAAGAGACTTGATATCTCTCTATAGGGAAATTATGTACTACTCATCTGAAAATCGTCATTTGCACAGATCTTTGCTGTTGTGCTACTTCTGCCCCTCATATTGTGTTTCTTTGCTTTCTATTCATGTCTCCTTTGTTGTGGCGCAATACTTGTTCATTTCCTGTCTCTGGAGGGAAATCTATCTCTCCGCTATTTGATATTTTTTGTGCCGGTAGAAGTCTCCTTATATATATACTACTGATAAATCTTTTCAGTAGCCCACACCACTCTATCACTTAGTCGGTTTTTTGAAAATAACTGACCTAAAAATTATCACTTCTGTCATTTAGTGATATAACACCCATAGCATCCAATATTAATAATGAGATTTTTACATTCAACTTAGCGAACTCCATTTGTCCTGGTTTCTCATTAAAAATTCCATTAAAATTCATTGGAAATGTAGTCACGAATGTACACGGATATATGCTTTTTGTGTGTAATTACAAAGGAACTCAACAGTCCGTTCTTAAATTGCACAAATTTTGTTTATGTTTACGTTAGTCAGATAAACAACCAACTAGATTCCATGACGCTTATAAAAAGCCATTACTCTGCCCGTCTCGCGGCATAATTAGTTTCCGTAGTACTATTTGTATTACTATTGCATTAAGGTCCCTGAAATTAAATAAACGATGTAACTGTGGAAAAATCAATCTGCAGAAAAGAAAATTGAATCAGAAAATATCTTCAATACAACAGCTTCTGTCCTATGAACTTTGAGTGTGAATTAGCAAGGACAATAAACAAAAGCACCAGGTGGAAGAAGAATTAAGCTTTGTTGAAAAATGCCTAAGGCAAAATAGGTGTCCAAAAGGGTTTATCCAAAAGTATAGTAAAGAAAAGCATGAGAAAATGAAACATCCAGCAGTTGAAAGAAGAAAGTGTTCATTAGCCTCCCATTGAAAGGAGAAACATTATCACAAAAGATTGAAAAGAGGATGGAAGGAGCAATAAAGAGATGCTTCCCTGCAGCTAAGCTGGTGACGCTACACAACACTACTTTTTATAAGCCAGTAGAAACTGGATAAGTACCCTGTTGATGTTACCTCCAACTGCATTTACAAATTTATGTGCACCTGCGGCAGCAAGTACATTGAAAGGACAGAAAGAAAGGCTTCTATCTGGTCTTCAGAGCATATTCCATGAAACTTAAGCCTAAGAGGAAGCAGATATTCTCAAAGTGCAATTACCAGATACCTACCATCTGGATACGGATCATTTCGTTGATATATTCAAATCCTTCAAAATATTAAACATTCAAAGGACAGCGAATCGACTACAATTTTCTGAAGCAATTTGCAATCAAGTACTACAAACCAAATAACGTACGCATACAGGAAGAGAGTGTAGTCAATCTCTCACTCCCTTGGTAACTGCATTTTGATTACATTGGTTAGCAGTCATTCATACTAGTGACTTCAGCTCACTGAGCAAGTTTCCAATTCTATGAACTATAACCTTCTTCAGCTGCTAATGTAAACCTACAAGCTGACACTGTTTATTAGATTTCTGTGTTTTCTATCTTCTGCCTCTCTTTTTCTACTGTGAAAGCATATAAAATGATGGTAAATTAAACCAGAAATTGTAATGCTTATATTCTGGGTGCGTTTACATTATAATATTTTTTCTATTAGCATTCGAACATTGAAGTATACTATTGTCATTATTTATAACCATAGTAATTCCAAGCAGGTGTGTGCAGCTGACGATAACCTGTGAAATGGAATGATAATATCATTTTATACTGCAAATCTGGCCTTTCTTTCTTTATTGAAATTTATCAAGGAAAGCAAATGTATGAAATTATAACTCTCTTTTTACGCAATTCACCTATGTAATTTAGGAAAACGAATGCTTAAATCACATTCTTGATGAGGAGGGGGGGTAAATAAATGAATCTCAGCTTTATGCTAATTCACAAAATTTAAATATTGGTTTCTCAAGTATTCGAATTGTGAATATGCCAAGCATGTTCATCTAAACTGGAAACATTTATTTCCCGATACGAATTTAAAACAAGCAACAAAGGTTAGCAAAGCATGATTTAATGAATTCATCAAATTTCGGCAGAGCTCTTCAACTGAATACTCTACATACAGGCATATATATATACTATTGGAAATACATTAGAAGATACAAGACTGATAAGCAAATAAACTACATTGAATTAATCATGCGAAACGATAGGTGTGAATGTTTTCCAGTTCATGTTCAAATAAATGAGAAGAAGGAAAAGTTACAGAATAAAATTAAGATGAAACGCATTATGCTTCAATTGCATCACTTAGATAAACAATCAGTCATCAGAGAAAAACCTAAATATATCAAGGACTGCGAACTGAGTAATATTAATATTAGTAGTTACAATGATAATAATAGGGGAACGAGTTAAGATAATGCTACCGAAAAAGGACAGTTTTAAATGAATTAGGAAAAATAATAATAATAAGAGGTACAATAAAGTGTTAATAATATTAATAGTAATGTTAACAATCAGTAAGTAAAACATATTATCATGGTAGATTCAAAATGACGACCATTTCCTATTGTACACAGAGTCCTGGTTTGTAAATTCGTATTGCGCAAGCCTCCGCAAGTGCAGGTATCTTCCTGTTTTATTTTCTGCTGACAACAGTGAATGACTTCTCAGAGTTGATATCATGTCCGCAGTTCATGCGGTGACTTATTACTGAACATACTGACACATCGAATTCAACTGTTTCCAACCACTTTGACAAATGCCTCTGTCATGCAAGTAGGCAATCGTATTTCTGTACGACCTATGTATTCGCTTCCACAAACACACTCAAATTGATATACGCAGTTTGAAGTGTCGACGATTGGCAACT